GAAGGACTAAAGCTGGGCTTCTGGACTCTACTTGGACTCCTACCCTACAGGTCTACAGTTCGAATCTTCCTACAGCCTACAACCTACGGTGACCTACTTACCACTGGCTATCGTGCAGGTCACGGGTTCAACTCCAGGGAACTGTACAGATACTGTACACAGGTAAGCTGAGGTCAAGGGATCGACCCCTGGGATCTGCATCGGCTACTGCCAAAGGTGAAAACTGTTTCATCATTTACTATTGAACAAATATTCCCACGAATGTTCTTGCGAATGTTCGCATGATCTTTGTGCAACGCATATACCTTGTGGACTTGGCGTGCGATACTTTGTGTTTCGCATGTTCCCGATTAGTTAATCATCATCTTATTCTTCTAATGAGTTACAGATGAAGAGAACAAAATTAATAAGAATGATGACAGCCCACCACCGACTGGCCTAGCGCAGTTGGAACACTGATGAACTGTTGAAATACAGACCCAACTGTTGAAATACAGACCCGTGTTCAAATCCTGATGCACTCATATGAAGAGAATAATATTGAATTACCCAGGGCCGGTCAGTCCAATGATCATATTTCTCAAGGCCGTTGCCCTTTAAGGAGGGGGAAGAGAAACGAATGAAGGCCCACTTATTATTATCTCCTCACTTCTCGCGTATCCACTCACTCTTTTTTTTTTTCCCCACAAGGCTAATTCTTTTAAGCCCAACCAATACAATTACCTGTCGAATATGGACAGGATGGCCTTTCAGGCCATCTTTAATTATCAGTATAGTAAGTATTACAGTGAACCTCATAGCAGCCGCATAAGCTTTCACTGTTCATGCTTCATTCACTCTCTTTTTATTGTTTTTTTTATTTTTTGGAGGGGGGGGGGGGGGGGGGGCGACGCGGCTGTGGAGGCGGGAGGGGTGAACAAACGACCAAAACATACCTGAAATGCTGCGGCCCATTCACTGAACGAGTTTGCTGATTGCTGTTGCTCCTGTTGATGAGGCTGGTTTTTTTTTCCCGGCAAAAAAACACATTGTACATCATTGCATGCATCACACGTTGAAATGCGATACGAACGAACAAACAAACAAACAAACAAACAAACAAACAAACAATCAAACAATCAAACAATCAATCAAACAATCAATCAAACATACGTACACAAATGTGTTGCCTGCTTTTGGAGGAACCGACGTCCTGGTGCAGTCCAATCTTTGACCAATGGAGAGAGCGCTGACATTGTGAGTGTTTTTTTCCGCATCTGCCGTGCTGCAACCGGGACACCATCTTTTCAATTTTCCTTCAAAAAGAGAGCAAGAGAGAGAGAGAGAGAGAGAGAGAGAGAGAGAGAGAGAGAGAG